ATACATATCATTTCTGCAATAACAATAAACAGAGAAATCTAAATTAGTTAATTGCAATAGGGAAGGACAACTCGTTCCCGCCGATCTTACTATCATTCTCTGACTCATTTAATAATGTGATGCTTCGCGAGGTCCTACCATGATTGATTATGTAAATAACTGATTCTCTTGCTCGAAAGAGTGTGCTTGTGGGTACATAAGTGAATCATTGTACGTACAGTTCAGTTCACATTTGAGCAAACGGGTATAATGCTCGGTTTGTTCATTTGTTTGTTGGGTTAACAGCCTATGGACTACACGAGAATATTTAAAGCTGCAATACACAGCCACATAATGAGGATTAGTGTAAATTCTCGGTGTAAACACACTGAAAGACATGCAGTTCTCCGAGTATATACCTCAAAATGTTTCATGTTTTTGAAATGCGACAAAAATTGCTACTAGGTAGAAGTGACCAGGTAGAGCACTAATAAAAAAATGTAAAGAGGAACAGAAACCGAATACCGATTTGAAAACAAAAAAAATCGGAAAAAATATTTGAAAGAATCTCGATAAAATAGAGAGCAATTTCTAAGGAACTAAAAGCGATCGCTGAGATGGTTCTCTTCATGTTTGCGGATTTCCTCGAATCCTGGATTGAGTTACACGGAGCGATCAGTAGCTCCCCGCTACTCCACTCTACACAGGAACTGAATAAACGTGAGCCTTGGAATTACGTTGTTGCGCGTGTAGGTAGAGCGCAAATTTAGCGTGAGACATCAGCTCATGTTTATGAGGTGAGACTATATCCTCTGAAATGTTCTTGACTAAGGTGACTCCCTAATCCTCGGTAGAAGCTCCATCACTGACATTTTTTTATGGAACAGAGCAGAGCAACAGAAGCCACAGGGAGCCAGCAAGTGTATCCCGACCCAGCTTCACGTATGAAAGTACGAGAGAGGAAGTGAATCCTCATCCTATGCTTCATCAAGTGTGAACGTACCAGCATGGTACACCATACCCTTTCATGTCTCTGTATAGCTCGCTTCTCACAGTATCTTATTCATGTTACTGGACGTTCATCTGTCGTCAGGCGTACATTATTACGCTATGGTTGCTGTGCCTTTGCTTCCCCTGCCTCAGAGAATCTCTTGTTCTACCACGGAATGTGGTTGTGTCTAGCGTGTTGTTACTGGTCACGGAACTACAGATACCAGCGTACATAAACAAGTTCAATGTGATAATGTGTTTGGTTTAACCCAATAATCTCTCCAGAAAGCAGTATTCCTAAAATAGGGATTACTCTAAATTTATGTAAACTAACAAGTGTGTGTGTGCGTACATGGTGTGTGTGTGTGTGTATGCATGCTTGTGTTTGTTTGTGTGTGTGTCTGTGTATGTAAGTGTACTCATCAATTGTACTCACCTAATTTTTGCTGCAGGGGTCGATTCATAGCTCTTGGCCCCGCCTCTTCACTAAGTGTTACTAATTCACACTCTCTCTGCTCCATAAGCTTTATCATACCTGTGTATATACATACATATATATATATATATATATATATATATATATATATATATTTATATATATATTATATATATTATATATATGTGTGTGTGTGTGTGTGTGTGTGTGTGTGTGTGTGTGTGTGTGTGTGTGTGTGTGTGTGTGTGTGTGTGTGTGTACTCACCTAGTTGTTACTCACCTAGTTGAGGTTGCGGGGGTCGAGTCCGAGCTCTGGCCCCGCCTCTTCACTGATCGCTACTAGGTCACTCTCCCTGAGCCGTGAGCTTTATCGTACCTCTGCTTAAAGCTATGTATGGTATCCTGCCTCCACTACATCGCTTCCCAAAACTATTCCACTTACTGACTATCTCTGTGGCTGAAGAAATACTTCTAACATCCCTGTGATTCATCTGTGTCTTTAGCTTCCAACTGTGTCCCTTGTTACTGTGTCCAATCTCTGGAACATCCTGTTTTTGTCCACCTTGTCAATTCCTCTCAGTATTTTGTATGTCGTTATCATGTCCCCCTATCTCTCCTGTCCTCCAGTGTCGTCAGGTTGATTTCCCTTAACCTCTCTCGTAGGACATACCTCTTAGCTCTGGGATAGTCTTGTTGCAAACCTTTGCACTTTCTCTAGTTTCTTTACGTGCTTGGCTAGGTGTGGGTTCCAAACTGGTGCCGCATACTCCAATATGGGCCTAACGTATACGGTGTACAGGGTCCTGAACGATTCCTTATTAAGATGTCGGAATGCTGTTCTGAGGTTTGCTAGGCGCCCATATGCTGCAGCAGTTATTTGGTTGATGTGCGCTTCAGGAGATGTGCCTGGTGTTATACTCACCCAAGATCTTTTTCCTTGAGTGAGGTTTGTAGTCTCTGACCCCCTAGACTGTACTCCGTCTGCGGCCTTCTTTGCCCTTCCCCAATCTTCATGACTTTGCACTTGGTGGGATTGAACTCCAGGAGCCAATTGCTGGACCAGTTCTGCAGCCTGTCCAGATCCCTTTGTAGTTCTGCCTGGTCTTCGATCGAGTGTATTCTTCTCATCAACTTCACGTCATCTGCAAACAGGGACACCTCAGAGTCTATTCCTTCCGTCATGTCGTTCACAATACCAGAAACAGCACTGGTCCTAGGACTGACCCTGCGGGACCCGCTGGTCACAGGTGCCCACTCTGACACCTCGCACGTACCATGACTCGCTGCTGTCTTCCTGACAAGTATTCCCTGATCCATTGTAGTGCCTTCCCTGTTATCCCTGCTTGGTCCTCAGTTTTTGCACAATCTCTTGTGTGGAACTGTGTCAAACGCCTTCTTGCAGTCCAAGAAAATGCAATCCACCCACCCTCTCTCTCTTGTCTTACTGCTGTCACCATGTCATAGAACTCCAGTAGGTTTGTGACAACAGGATTTCCCGTCCCTGAAACCATGCTGGCTGCTGTTGATGAGATCATTCCTTTCTAGGTGTTCCACCACTCTTCTCCTGATAATCTTCTCCATGATTTTGCATACTATACATGTCAGTGACACTGGTCTGTAGTTTAATGCTTCATGTCTGTCTCCTTTTTTAAAGATTGGGACTACATTTGCTGTCTTCCATGCCTCAGGCAATCTCCCCGGTTTCGATAGATGTATTGAATATTGTTGTTAGGGGTAACACATAGCGCCTCTGCCTCCCTCTCTCAATACCCATGGGGAGATGTTATCTGGCCCATTGCCTTTGAGGTATCTAGCTCACTCAGAAGCCTCTTCACTTCTTCCTCGGTTGTGTGCCTGTGTCCAGCACTTGGTGGTGTGCCCCACCTCTCCGTCTTTCTGGAGTCCCTTCTGTCTCCTCTGTGAACACTTCTTTGAATCTCTTGTTGAGTTCTTCACATACTTCCGGTCATTTTCCTGTTGTCTCTCCTCCTTCCTTCCTTAGCTGATTACCTGGTCTTGACTGTTTTTTTCCCTCCTGATGTGGCTGTACAACAGTTTCGGGTCAGATTTGGCTTTCGCTGCTATGTCATTTTCATATTGTCTTTGGGCCTCCCTTCTTATCTGTGCATATTCATTTCTGGCTCTACGACTGTTCTCCTTATTCTCCTGGGTCCTTTGCCTTCTATATTTCTTCCATTCCTAGCACACTTGGTTTTTGCCTCCCTGCCCCTTTGGGTAAACCATGGGCTCATCCTGGCTTTTTCATTACTCCTGTTACCCTTGGGTACAAACCTCTCCTCAGCCTCCTTGCATTTTATTGCTACATATTCCATCATCTCATTAACTGGTTTCCCTGCCAGTTCTCTGTCCCACTGAACCCGTTCAGGTAGTTCCTCATTCCTGTGTAGTCCCCTTTCTTGTAGTTTGGCTTCATTCGTCCTGGCCTTCCTGCTTCTCCCTCCACTTGTAGCTCTACTGTGTATTCGAAGCTTACAACCACATGGTCACTGGCCCCAAGGGGTCTTTCATATGTGATGTCCTCGATATCTGCACTACTGAAGGTGAATACTAAGTCCAGCCTTGCTGATTCATCCTCTCCTCTCTCTCTTGTAGTGTCCTTACGTGTTGGTACATGAAGTTCTCCAGTACCACCTCCATCATCTTAGCCTCCAAGTATCTTGGCCCCCATGTGGGTCCAAGTTCTCCCAATCTATCTCCTTGTGGTTAAAGTCACCCATGATCAGGAGCTTTGCCCTGCATGCATGAGCTCTTCTGGCCACTCTAGCCAGTGTGTCAACCATCGCTCTATTGCTCTCGTCGTACTCTTGCCTTGGCCTCCTGCTGTTCTGTGGTGGGTTATACATCACTGCTATTACCACCTTGGGACCTCCAGAGTGAGTGTTCCCACTATGTAATCACTTTCTTCTCCGCTATCTTCTCTCTCCAGCTCATCAAAATTCCAGCGATTTTGATCAGCAACGCCACTCCTCCACCCCCCTGTTCCCTCTGTCTTTCCTCAGGATTTGGTATCCCGTTGGAAAGATGGCATCTGTTATCATACCTGTAAGCTTGGTTTCTGTGAGAGCTATGATGTCCGGTGATGCTTCTTTGACTCTTTCTTGCCACTCCTCCCACTTATTTGTTATTCCATCAGCGTTTGTGTACCATACCTTCAGTTTCCTTTCCAACACTGTGGTTTGGGGGGCCTGTGAGGGTGGGAGACCTGGTGGCATACTGTGGGGTTCTATAGCTTGTTGTTGGGTGGAGGTGTGGGTATGGATTGGGGCTGTGTGTGTGTGTTTGTGTGTATGGTGTGTGTGTGTGTGTGTGTGTGTGTGTGTGTGTGTGTGTGTGTGTGTATGTGTGTGTGTGTGTGTGTGTGTGTGTGTGTGTGTGTGTGTGTGTGTGTGTGTGTGTGTGTGGTGTGTGCATGTGTGTGTGTATGTGTGTGTGTATGTGTGTGTGTGTGTGTGTGTGTGTGTGTGTGTGTGTGGTGTGTGTGTGTGTGTGTGTGTGTGTGCATGTGTGTGTGTATGTGTGTGTGTATGTGTGTGTGTGTTTGTGTGTATGTGTGTGTGTGTGTGTGTGTACTCACCTATTTGTACTCACCACTTTTATCTTCACCTTCACTTTCTCCTTCACCTCTTCCATCACCTCCTTCTTCAGCTTCTCCATCACCTTCTTCTTCACCTCTTGCTTCACCTCCTCCTTCTCACAAGAATTTACTCCAATCTTGCAGTAATTTACACATTACAGTTATATTCACCTTTCTATAACTTTGCTAAAATTTTTTGGTGTTTCTTTTCTATGGAAGGTCTTATAGTTGAATCTTCCAGTGATCTCTGGGTAAAACATAATATACTAATTATTGTACTAACAACAAACAGACCTGGAATATTATTTGTTTAATGTTGAAATGAGACTTCGTAAAACTCTATGGACATCCCCAGCCATATTTAACTATGTATGCTGGTCTTTATGTCTTCGTTATCTTGATAAAATATGCTTTGAATAATTCAGTTTTTTAATATATTTGGTTTAAATTTGTGAATAAGTTAGCATCAATGTATGTTTGTATTTATGAACGTCAGTGAGTATTTAGGTGTAATGCAGGGTGAAAGTGTGAAGTCTAGCGTCTAGTCTCAACGCTTCGACTGATTGACCTGACGTAATTCTGCGTGCACTTGTTTGTATGTGTGTGTGTGTGTGTGCGTTTGTATGCGTGTACACAAACAGAATCTCGGCTGTTGAGGCCGAGATTCAGTTCCTGGCCTATTCTGTCCACTGGTCGCTACTGGGTTCACTGTACACTCTGAAAGGCCCCACCTTTTGGCTCTCTTGATCGATAGACTTCCTTACTAATCTGAGGCAAAATAATTAGTTCCTAAAAATCTCTTCTAGATCTTTAGCGGGGTTCTTCTTTTGTTGAGACCCGTCTTTGAAACTGATTCGCCCTGTCCATCTTGCAAATTCTCCACAGTACTCAAGTTACCCGCACATAGGAGAGTGAAAAGTTTTGACTATGTTTCGGCCCTACTTTGTGGACCAAGTCCGACCTGACCACTACTTGAAGTCACACTGTCAGAAGAGATTGAACGAAGTGGGACAAAGACGGTAGAAAGAGGGGAAGAAAAACAGGTAGTGGTAGTAGTAATACTGGTAGTGGAAGCAGTAGTAGAAGTAACAGTGGTAGTAGAAAGCAGGGGGAATAGTTCTTGGCCACAAGAGGTAGGAAGAGGAGTGAAGGGAGGCTATAGTAGTAATAGTAATAGTATCAGAAAAGGTAGAAGGTAGAAGCAGTAAGAGAAGTACCACTACTGTTTTTTTCCTCTTCTCTTCCTCCCTTCCCTGGTCTACTTCTCCATTATATACTGACTCAGTCATTATTTGTATATTGTTCCAGTCACAGTTTTGTACCTTTTTGTTTCCCACAGTGTTTTGTGCTTTGTAGTCATTTCTTCCTTGGTCCCTCTTTCCTCTAAGGTCGTTCTCTAACTGCAAGCTTTTGCATTTTCTGCAGTTTCTGCTCATGCTATATCAGATGCAGGTTTCATCCTGGCTCTACATACTCTGAGATGAGTCTGAATTTCATAACTTTGAATTTGTTGGGGTTCAATTCTAATAGCCACTAGAATAGTCAGATCTACTTGTAATCTTTCCTGGTTTGCTCCTTCTTTTGTGATTTTTTCCCCTTACTTTCACGTCATCAGCGATCAGAGACACCTCGCACTTGATTTCTTCTATCTAGCTTAAGTATGAAACAGTACTGAGGCTTATAGAACGTCACTCATCACACTCGCTCTTTCCTCGTGGAAAATAACTAGTTCCTTCCTTCCTTTTAATTATTCCTTGACCCTCTGTAGTGCTTTTCCTTGTATTCTTCTTTGCTCACGAAGCTTTTGCCTAAGTTCCAAAATTTACTGTCTACCCAACCCCGTTCTTCTATTTAATGGTTAATACCTCCTTATAGAACTCTAGCAGGTTTTCGAGAGAGGATTTATGATCTCTAAAATATTGCTGGCTGTTTTTCTTTCCATATATTCCAATGGTCTTTCTGATAATCATCTCCATAACCTTGAATGCTATTCAAGTCAGAGACACAGGCCTGTAGTTTACTGCTAAATGTCTGTCCCCCTTAAATATCGGGACGACATTCGCCGGTCTCTACACTCTCAGTACCTACCTGTTTCACCTGACTTACTGAATATTGCTGCAAGTGCTTCACACAGTTCTTTTGCTCCTTCTCTTGGAACACATGAAAAGATGGCGTCTTGTTCCATTGTCCTCGAGGCATCTCCTTTGTTTATTAGTTTCTTCATCTAGTTTTCAGAAGTGTATTGTGTGTGTTTACTCACCTAATTGTAATCAACTAATTGTGGTTGCAGGGGTGGAGTCATAGCTCCTGACCCTGCCTCTTCACTGGTCGCCACTAGGTCTAATCTCTCCTGCTCCATGAACTTTATTCTACCTCTTCTTAATGCTATGTATGGTACCTGCCTCTACTACCTTACTTTCCAGACTATTCTACTTCCTGACATCTCTACCACTGAAGAAATACTTTCTAACATCCCTGTCACCTCTTGTTGTTATGTCCCAACTACAGAACATCCTGTCTTTGTCTGCCTTTTCGATTCCTCTCAGTATTTTACATGCTTTTATCATGTCCCCCTGTCCCGGCTGTTCTCCAGTGTCCCTTAACCTTTCCTCGTAGGACTTGCCCCTTAGCTCCGGGTAGTCTCGTTTCAAACCTTTGCACTTTTTCTAATTTTCTGAAGTGCTGGGCCAGGTGTGGGTTCCAAACTGGAGCTGTATACTCCGAAACGACTCCTTACTAAGATGTCGGAATGCTATTCTTAGGTTCGCTAGTAGCCCTTATGCTGCAGCAGTTTTTGGTTGATGTGAGCCTCAGGAGAAGTGTCTTTGCACATGGTGGGGTTGAAATCCATGAGTTAGTTGCTGGGCCAGGCCTGCAGCCTGTCCAGATCCCTCTGGAGTCCGGCCTTATCTACCTCCCACTGAAGTGTCCTCATTAACGTCACATAGTCTGCAAACAGGGACACTTTTGAGTTTACTCCTTCCGTTATGTTATTCACATGTACCAGAAACAGCACATGTCCTAGGACTGATTCCGGTGGAACCCCCTCGTCACAGGTGCCCACTCTTACACCTCATGTGGGTGTACTCAACTATTACTCACCCATTTGTGGTTGCAGGGGTCGTGTGTGTGTGTGTGTGTGTGTGTGTGTGTGTGTATGTATGTACTCAGCTAATTGTGGTTGCAGGGGTCGAGACTCAGCTCCTGTGTGAGTGTGTGTGTGTGTGTGTGTGTGTGCTTGTGTGTCTGTGTTTGAGTATGTGTGTGTATGTGTGCGTGTGTGTGAGTGTGTGTGTGCGTGTGTATGTATGTGCTTGTATGTGTGTGTGTATGTGTGTGTGTGTGTGTGTGTGTATGCGCGTGTGTGTGTGTGTGTACTCACCTAGTTAAGGTTGCAGGGGTCGAGTCCAAGCTTCTGGCTCCTGTGTGTGTGTGTGTGTGTGTGTGTGTGTGTGTGTGTGTGTGTGTGTGTGTGTGTGTGTGTGTGTGTGTGTGTGTGTGTGTGTGTGTGTGTGTGTGTGTGTGTGTGTGTGTGTGTGTGTGCATGTGTGTGTGTGTGAGGGTGTGTGTGTGTTCATGCAGGAAGTGAACTCCGGCACCCGGCCCCATCACTTAACCATCTTTGCTCTTCTCTTCGTTACTCTTCAGTCAAATAAGATCTTTCAGAAAGACATCCGCTGATGTCTGGAGTTTACTTTCACTTCGTCCTCACATGTGTCAATCCACTCTTTAATAATATTTGCGCCAGAAAAATATTTTCACTTGTTCTTCCATGTGTTCTATCTGAACTTTCAGCATGTTCACTGGTTCTGGTCACACACATGTCAAACTATTTCTCTTTCCATCTATGTCCTCTTGTTCCGCTCTATCTTGTGTTAAACCGTGTGTCCATCCATCTGTATTCCTGAGCACCATTCGCGTCATGAAAATGTCTTCTCAGAACCATAATTTTTCTAATGATCTGATTATTTTTACCATTAGCTATTCCTAGCAGCTATGTCACATTGATTTGATACTGGTGTAATGACAATATTTTTTTTTTAATTTACTGGGTTTTCTAAATGCTTTGCTGCATTCTGGCTTCATGTGGGAGGAAGAAACTCGAGGGATGATTGATCATTAGATTAAAGGTATCAACACGATAACCCCGTGGATTTCTGGTGCTGAAAGTATACTCCACAATTCGATCACTAATTCTTTGGCCTACGATCAAGGTCTACGATTAAATGCTGCGCCTCTCCATTTCGACTATAGGCTAAGGGACTGACTACTTCAAACTCCTTATCTTTTCCGTTCTTCTTTGTATAGGACTGATGAAGCCACTGTGTGGGGAAATGTTTCCTCAGTATAGATACCCAAGTAATGCACTTGTGTCTAATGTTTTAATGTTGTTGTGTCATTCTTGTCGGGAATTAACATTTATGTTATTTTTTCAAATTGTCTTTTGTGTTTTTCTTCTCAACCTTCCATATTAATTTCAGGTTTTTCTACTTGCTGTTCTACTTGCTGTTCTACTTGCTGTTCTGCTTGCTGTTCTACTTGCTGTTCTACTTGATGTTCTACTTGCTGTTCTACTTGCTGTTCTACTTGCTGTTCTACTTGCTGTTCTGCTTGCTGTTCTACTTGCTGTTCTACTTGATGTTCTACTTGCTGTTCTACTTGCTGTTCTACTTGCTGTTCTACTTGCTGTTCTACTTGCTGTTCTACTTGCTTTTTCTACATGCTGTTCAACTTGCTGTTCTACTTGCTGTTCTACTTGCTGTTCTACTTGCTGTTCAACTTGCTGTTCTACTTGCTGTTCTACTTGCTGTTCTACATGCTTTTCTACCTGCTGTTCTACTTGCGTCTACTTGTGTTCTACTTGCTGTTCTACTTGCTATTCTACATGCTGTTCTACTTGCTACTCTACTTGCTGTTCTACATGCTGTTCTACTTGCTGTTCTACTTGCTATTCTACATGCTGTTCTACTTGCTGTTCTACATGCTGTTCTACATGCTGTTCTTCTTGCTACTCTACTTGCTGTTCTACATGCTGTTCTACTTGCTGTTCTACTTGCTATTCTACATGCTGTTCTACTTGTTGTTCTACTTGCTGTTCTACATGCTGTTCTACTTGCTACTCTACTTGCTGTTCTACATGCTGTTCTACTTGCTGTTCTACATGCTGTTCTACATGCTGTTCTTCTTGCTACTCTACTTGCTGTTCTACATGCTGTTTTACTACTTGCTACATCTATCTTGCTGTTCTACTCTGCACTGTTCTACTTGCTGTTCTACTTGCTGTTCCACTTGTTGTTCTTCTTGCTACTCTACTTGCTGTTCTACATGCTGTTCTACTTGCTGTTCTACTTGCTGTTCTACTTGCTGTTCTACTTGCTGTTCTACTTGCTGTTCCACTTGTTGTTCTTCTTGCTACTCTACTTGTTGTTCTACATGCTGTTCTACTTGCTGTTCTACTTGCGGTTCTAGTTGCTGTTCTACTTGCTGTTCCACTTGTTGTTCTTCTTGCTACTCTACTTGCTGTTCTACTTGCTGTTCTAGTTGCTCTTCTACTTGATGTTCTACTTGCTGTTCTACTTGCTGTTCTACTTGCTGTTCCACTTGTTGTTCTTCTTGTTAACTTCTACTTGCTGTTCTACATGCTGTTCTACTTGCTGTTCCACTTGTTGTTCTTCTTGCTACTCTACTTGCTGTTCTACTTGCTGTTCTACTTGCTGTTCCACTTGTTGTTCTTCTGCTACTCTATTTTCTTGCTGTTCTACATGCTGTTTCACTTGCTGTTCTACTTGCTGTTCCTACTTTGCTGTTCTACTTGCTGTTCTACTTACTGTTCTACTTACTGTTCTTCTTGCTGTTCTACTTGCTGTTCTACTTGCTGTTCTACTTGCTGTTCTACTTGCTGTTCTACTTGCTGTTCCACTTGTTGTTCTTCTTGCTACTCTACTTGCTGTTCTACTTGCTCTTCTACTTGATGTTCTACTTGCTGTTATACTTGCTGTTCTACTTGCTGTTCCACTTGTTGTTCTTCTTGCTACTCTACTTGCTGTTCTACTTGCTCTTCTACTTGATGTTCTACTTGCTGTTCTACTTGCTGTTCCACTTGTTGTTCTTCTTGCTACTCTACTTGCTGTTCTACTTGCTGCTTCTACTTGATGTTCTACTTGCTGTTTACTTGCTGTTCTACTTGCTGTTCACTTGTTGTTCTTCTTCTACTTCTACTTGCTGTTCACATGCTCTTATACCTGATGTTCTACTTGCTGATTCTACTGCTGTCTTCTTGTGTTCCACTTGTTGTTATTCTGCTACTCTACTTGCTCATACTTGCTGTCTACTTACTGTTCTTCTTACTATCTACTTGCTGTCTACTTTGCTGTATCTACTTCGCTGTTCTATTTCTGTTCTACTTGCTGTTCACAACTGAATGCAAACCCAATGAGCCATAGGGGATGTAGGAAGGCAATTTATTTAGCCTTACAGAAAGGTGTGATAATGGTGCTAGAAACGAGTGACAGCGAGCAACAAGCGAATACCAGGACAGGAGCTGTGACTCGACCCTTGCAAACCACTATAGGTGAGTACCCACACACACAACACAGACACAAAGAGCACAGAATGCACAATGGATGAGCAGAGAGAGACGACGAGAGAGAGAGAGGAGAGATGACAGCCTTCCACCACTACAGACAAGAGGGAGAGAGTATGAGTGATAGAAAGGGAGCGCAGCGAAGATGCTGATGCAAAAGGCAAAGAGATAAGAGAAGGAGAGAGAGAGAGGAATGAAATATCAAGAACAACAATAAAAGAAGAATACAAGCAGAAATCAAGAGATAAAGAGACATGAAGGGAGAGAGAGAGCGAGACGAGAGAGCGAGCGAGAGAGAGAGAGAGAGAGAGAGAGAGAGAGAGAGAGAGAGAGAGAGAGACGAGAGAGGAGAGAGAGAGAGAGAGAGAGAGAGAGAGAGAGAGAGAGAGAGAGAGAGAGAGAGAGAGAAAGAGAGAGAGATAATATCTGGGGGTGGTGGATGCTGTGCCGGCGCACGTATACTCAGTGCGGGACTGACTATCGTGAAGGGTGGAGGACTGCGTTCCCTCCACCGCTGTTCCTGTGTACACAAAACCACGCTTGAACTCCTTCGTTTTTTCACAGTTTACCCATAACGACCCTAAACCCTTGCGAGGAGAGTGCCAAAGTTGATCCCCAGAATTATTTATTGCGGGTGCAACAGATTGCAGTCGGTCGCGCTAATGTTGTGAAGTGATATAAAAAGAATTTTATTTATAAATAAATTATGTGAAAAGAAAAAACAAGTACTGTTTATGTTTAGGTACCAAAATTTCAGTTCTTCGTTTCCAAAAACGAAAAATGAAATCAGAGCAAGTTTATTAAGGTAAGAGCACAGATTTCCTAATTACTGATGATTACTGCTATTAAATTCATTAATTACACATTGTGAACTTGTTGCAGAGTTGAGCGAAAGAGAGAGAGAGAGAGAGAGAGAGAGAGAGAGAGAGAGTCTGGCTTCACTTTTCGTAATCTCAGTACAAGTTCCACTGGTGACATTGCTACCTGTGGAGGAGCGAGCATCATCATATTGTCTCTCCCACACGTTAGTATGTTTCCCAACGCCCAATTAATACAGGTCCTGCCTGAGGTCTACTTCAGCAGATCTGAAAAAGATCTCAGTTGGGGGTCGTAATGCACAGCACATCAAATTTTTGTATTAGTATTTGTTATATATGAGTTGACTCAAAGTCTGATAAGTGTTCATTATTACTTTCAGTATTCAGTGCAGTTGTTAGGTTTCAGTCAGAACTTGATAGGTTGCAATGTTGATTACGAAGCCGCTGCGGCAATAGCAACATTGATACAACAGCACCGTAGCTGCAACAGCACCATGGCAGGAATAGTGCCTTGGCTGGAGGAGCACCATGGCTAGTACAATGCCGTGGCTCGAACAGCGCCATGGCTGGAACAGTGCTGTGGCTGGAACAACACCATTGCTGGAACAGCACCAAGACTGGAACAGTGCCATTGCTGGAACAGTGCCGTGGCTGGAACAGCACCATGGCTGGAACAATGCCGTGACTGGAACAGCACAATGGCTGGAACAGTACCATGGCTGGGATAATGCCGTGGTTGGAACCGCACCATGGCTGTAACAATGCTGTGGATGGAACAGAACTATGGTCAGAACAAATCTATGGCTGGAACAGCACCATAGCTGGAAAAATTCAGTGGTTGAAACAGCACCATGGGTGGAATAGTTCCATGGCTGGAATAATTCCATGGCTGGAACATTACCATGGCTGGAACAGCACCATGGCTGGAACAATGCCATTACTGAAACAGCATCATAGCTGGAACAATGCTGTGGAGAGAACAGCACCATGGCTGGAGCAATGCCGTTGCTGGAACAGCACAACGGCTGGAACAGCGCCATTGCTGGAAAAATACAATGGCTGGAACAGCGCCATTGCTGGAAAAATACAATGGCTGGAACAACACCATGAAAGGAATAGCACCATGACTGGAGCAATACCATGGCTGGAATGGCACTATGGCTTGAACAGTACCATGGCTGGAACAATGCCGTGACGACCAGCACCAAAGCTGGAATAATGCCGTGGTTAGACCAGCAACATAGCCGGAACAATGCCGTGGCTGGTACAGCATCACGGCTGGTACAGCACCATGGCTGGAACAATGCCGTAGTTGGAAACGCACTATAGCTGGAACAATGCCGTTACTGGAACAGCACCATTGCTGGAACAGTACCATGGCTGGAAAAATGCCGTGGTTTTAACAGCACCATGGCTGGAACAATGCCGTTGCTGGAACAACACCATGGCTGGAACGGCACCATGGCTGGAGCAAAACCATGGGTGGAATAGCACCATGAATGGAACAATACCATCGCTGGAGTGGTACTTTGGCTGGAACAATACCATGGCTGGAACAATACCATGGCTGGAATAGAACCATGGCTGGAACAGCACCACGGCTGGAACAATACCATGGCTGGAACAATGCCGTGACTGGAACAGCACCATGGCTGGAACAATACCCTGGCTGGAATAATAATGCAGCTGAATTAGTACCGAGGTTGGAACAATACTGATGCTGGAACAATACTGTGACTGGAACAACACTAAGGCTAGAACAATATCGTAATTTGAACAATACTGTGACTGGACCAATACAGTGGCTGGAACAATACCGTGGCTGAAACAATACCGTGACTGGAGCAATATCATGACTGGAGCAATACCATGGCTGGAACAATACCGTGGCTAGAGCAATACCATGGCTGGAACAATACCGTGGCTGGACCAATACTGGAATAATGCAGCTGGACTAATACACTCGCTGGAACAATACTGATGCTGGATTAATACTATGGAAGGAACAACACAGGGGCGGGAACAATTTGAAGAATACCGTGGCTGGAACAATTTCATGGCTCGAACAATTATGTGGCTGGTACATTACCGTGACTACAACATTGCCGTTTCTCCAACAATACCGTGACTCCACTAAAACAGTGGCTCCAACAATACCGTGGTTCCAACAATGCCGTGGTTCCAGCAATACAGTGGCTGTAATAATACCGTGGCTCCAACAATACCGTGGCTCCAACAATGCCGTGGCTGTAACAATACCGTGGCTCCAACAATACCGTGGCTCCAATAATACCGTAGCTGTAACAATACCGTGGCTCCAACAATACCGTGACTCCAACAATACCGCATCTGTAACAATACCGTGGCTCCAACAATACCGTGGTTCGAGCAATACTGTGGCTGTAACAATACCGTGGCTCCAGCAGTACCGTGGCTCCAGCAATACCGTGACTCCAACAATACCGTGGCTGTAACAATACCGTGACTCCAACAATACCGTGGCTGTAACAATGCCATGGCTCCAACAATACCGTGGCTGTAACAATGCAGTGACTGGTACAGCACCGTGGCTGTAGCATTACCGTGGCTCTAACAATACCGTGACTGGAACAATACCGTGACTGGTACAGTACTGTGACTGGAACAATACCGTGACTGGAACAATACCATCACTGCTACAGTACGATGACTGGAACAATAACGTGACTGGTACAGTACAGTGACGGAAAAAATATCGTGACTGGAACAATAACGTGACTGGAACGATTCAAACGTAACTCATAAGTCATGTTCATACGATGTTTCGGTCCTTTCTGAGCCATCATCCTGTCCCAGTCGAGGGAAAATACAGTACCTGGTTGGGAAGTTAGGGGGGAGATAAAACAGTGGGAATGGTAGGAGCAATAATAGGAGCAGAGGTAGTAGTAGTAATAGCAGTAGTGGTGGCAATAGCAGATATAATAGTTCTAGTAGCAGAGGTAGTATCATTAGTAGTAGTAGTAGTAATAGAAGCACCAGTAGTAGGTGCAAGTTGCAGAAGTAGTCGCGGCATCACTAGTCGTATTAGCAGCAGTAACAGCACTTGTAGAAACAGCAGTGGTACTAGAGGAATAGAAGGAAGACGGAGTAGGAAGAAGAGGAATAGAAGGAAGATGAAGGAGTAGGAAGAAGAGGAATAGAAGGAAGATGAAGGAGTAGGAAGAAGAGGAATAGAAGGAAGATGAAGGAGTAGGAAGAAGAGGAATAGAAGGAAGATGAAGGAGTAGGAAGAAGAGGAATAGAAGGAAGATGAAGGAGTAGGAAGAAGAGGAATAGAAGGAAGACGAAGGAGTAGGAAGAAGAGGAATAGAAGGAAGATAAAGATGAGGAGTAGGAAGAAGAGGAATAGAAGGAAGATAAAGAAGAGGAGTAGGAAGAAGAGGAATAGAAGGAAGATGAAGAAGAGGAAGAGGAAGTAGTATAAGTAGTAAAAACAGTAATAGTAGTAGTATTCCTGGTGGTGGCAGTAGTAGTAGTAGTGGTAGTGGTAGTAGTTGTAGTGAAAGTAGTAGTAGTGGTGGTGGTAGTAGTAGTAATAGTAGTAGTGGTAATAGTAGTAGTGGTAGTAGTAGTAGTAATAGGGGTAGTGGTAGTAGTGGTAACGGTAATAGTAGTAGAGGTGGTAGTGATTGTAGTGGAAGTAGTAGTGGTGGTAGTGGTAGTAGTGATGGTGGTAGTAGCAGTAATGGTAGTAGTAGTAATAGTACTAGTGGTAATAGTAGTGGTAGTGCTAGTAGTACTAGTAGTAGTGGTAGTAGTAGTAGTAGTAGTAGTCTTGGTGGTGGCGGTAGTAGTAGTAGTAGTGATTGTAGTAGTAATAGCAGTAGTAGTAGTAGTAACAGTAGTGGTGGTTGTAGTAGTAGTGGTAATATCAGTAGTAGTGATGGTGGTAGTAGTGGTAATGGTAGTAGTAGTAGTAGTAGCAGCAGTAATGGTAGTAGTAATAGTAGTGGTAGCAGTGATATTGGTAGTAGAAGTAGTGGTGGTAGTAGTAGTGGTAGTGATAGTAGTGGTGGTAGTGATAGTAGTGGTGGTAGTGATAGTAGTAGTAGTGGTAATAGTGGTGGCGGAGGTAGTAGCAGTGGTAAATAGTAGTAGTGGTGTGGTGGTAGTATTAGTAATGGTAGTAGAAATAGTAGTAGAAATAAAACTAGAGGTAGTAGTAGTAGTAGTAGTAGTAGTAGAAATAAAACTAGAGGTAGTAGTAGTAGTAGTAGTAGTAGTAGTAGTAGTAGTAGTAGTAGTAGTAGTAGAAATAAAACTAGAGGTAGTAGTAGTAGTAGTAGTAGTAGTAGTAGTAGAAATAAAACTAGAGGTAGTAGTAGTAGTAGTAGTAGTAGTAGTAGTAGTAGAAATAAAACTAGAGGTGGTAGTAGTAGTAGTAGTAGTAGTAGTAGTAGTAGTAGTAGTAGAAAAAAACTAGAGGTAGTAGTAGTAGAAATAAAACTAGAGGTAGTAGTAGTAGTAGTAGTAGAAATAAAACTAGAGGTAGTAGTAGTAGTAGTAGTAGAAATAAAACTAGAGGTAGTAGTAGTAGTAGTAGAAATAAAACTAGAGGTAGTAGTAGTAGTAGGAATAAAACTAGAGGTAGTAGTAGTAGAAATAAAACTAGAGGTAGTAGTAGTAGTAGTAGCAGTAGTACTAGAAATAAAACTAGAGGTAGTCGTAGTAGTAGTAGTAGTAGTAGTAGTAGTAGTAGTAGTAGTAGTAGAAATAAAACTAGAGGTAGTAGTAACCGTGGTAGAGAGTAGATAATGGTCCAGGAGCGACCGAAACGTCGTTATAAATTTGGATTATTAAGTGTGAATAATTTCTGAAGAAACTAATGAAAGGAAGGGACTAATAATACGTCTTCGTATTGAAAGGAAGTGTGTTTGTGCGTTTGAGTGTTTGTGTGTTTGACAGTGTTTGTGAGTGTTTGTGCGTTTGACAGTGTTTGTGTGTTTGA